AAACTGTAAATTCTACTATTTTCTATCGTATGTTAATCTCTGGATTTTTTCAACTCGATGAGACTGTCCATCGTAAAGTCAGTCAAGTGTTAGTCATAATCTAAGGTTATCTGCTTAAACGTGAGGATGACTTATTTTCCAAGTGCTCTAGTCTCTTGATTGCCCTGCCTATTTTAAGATTTATTTTAGCTAAATAATTATAAATGCTAGTTGTCTGTATACATTTATTACTGTAGAAGGCTTACAAATTATTGTTGCTCAAACGTAAACATTGCGATTTTTGATATGAATATTTTTCTTTACCGATCTTCGAAAAAAAAAACAGATTCACTGAGAATGGTTGGCAAAAATGGTTGTCAGTAGTGAGCTGGTAGAAAGTTTTCATGATTGAAGTTTATTAACGTATACTGAGTACTATGAATATTTATCGAAGTATTTTTGAACAATTGCAATTTGGATGCATGTTAAACGGAAATTTATTCCAACATTGTACATTTTGTACCAAAATTTCTTGAATGTAACAAAATTTAAAGTAATGAATGAAGCCATTACTCTTAGTATCGTTACAATTGTCACTATTATTAGTGCTATTATTATTACGATTAGTATCATTATCAGTCATTTGATTCATATCCCCTGTTACGACTGCAAAAAAGAGATAAATGTGATTTATATAATTATCGAATGCAGCGTGTTTATCGATTTCATGAGAGCATATATATTCATGCTCAAAATGTTTTATCGGGTTTCAATACCTCACAGTTAATCTTATGAATAGTTTTTAGTGGCTCGCGACCTGATTATTTTGGACGAACAATAGACTATGCTATGAAATAAATCTTCCATTCAATTACCGTATATCATACTTAAGCGAACACCGTTTGTGAGACGGGGATGATTAAAAGCGGATGAATGTTTTCCGTACATTCATTTAAACAGACAAATGTTCAGAATGAAAGGCGTACAATCAAAGCAAAGCGAAATAAAGTAGAGAAGGCGAGTGAGCCAACTCATTGCAACGAGGCACAACTAAGTATCTATCGTCATTCAATGATAGGTTAAACATGCAATAAGCGAAGTATGCGCGCCCATACTCAAATAAAAACAACCAAGTTATAAACAAATGATTGACGAGGTCAAAAGATGTGTGAATAACTCGAGAATATTGGGTTAATTAATTTGAACAAAGGCTGGGAACAAGCCATGTGGACTCGACATTAAAGTACACACTACAATTTTCAACTTACTTGTAATTTTATGTCTTATTTACCAATGTTTAGTTAATAGTTTTTTATTCTTATGTATGTGTCAGGTTCAGATTGGTCGGTTTACGTCTCTTTGACTTCTTGAGAAATTTCTGCGAACACTGATTACTCCAATTAATTTGTTGTTTTCGTGTTCACTTCCACAGAAATTAATAAATTTAGGTTCAGTTTTCTTATATGTATCTTAAAATATGCTGTTTTCCTGACTTAGCTACAAGAAACATTATTGTATCTGTCTTTTATCGTTCGTCTTTGATGTTTTTGCTACTTGGTAAATGTTGTCAGTCAGTCAGTCAGTCATATGCAACGTAGAACTTGGTACGTAAATACATCAGTTCATGTTGCGATACCACATCAGCACAGAGATATAATTGTCAATTGAAATCCAATAGTAGAAGAGGTAGTAAAGGTATTAGGAGTAATAGGAGAGGTTAGGGTTAGAAGGTATTATTCAAGAAGTATGATTAGGATTTGAGAGAACATAAAGAATAAATGCACCGGCGCCATTGCGAACGATTTTGAGCCATGTCATTCACAGTCTCTAACCATCGATTATAATCTGGTTGTTGACAATTACCGACATGGCTAAGTCCACTAGTCAATGACTTCATGGATTTCTGCCATGTTTTGGTTTGGCCGCCCCTAACTTTCTTCCAACCTATTCCTACACTACAAAACAAAGCTCGACGAGGCAGTCGGTGGTTGGGCATACGCAACACATGTCCTAACCACCTCAACTGATGAAGTTTCACCACTTCATCTATTGATCTGCTATCCTTACCTAGTACTCGTTTCCTAACGACAGCATTGGTTACTCGGTTGTCCCACGGTATACAAGCAATGCTTCGAAGACACCTATGATCGAAAACCAGTAACCTACGAATATCTTTTACTCTCACTGGCCATGTTTCACAGCCATAAAGTAAGACGGAGCGAACTACTGCACAGTACATTCGTCCTTTAGTCAGCAAACGGATATCTCGCCTACGCTATAAGTGACGCAGGTTGGCAAAAGCCAATCGAGCCTTCTGTATCCGAGCTGAGATTTCGTCAGTCACCAGGCCATCGGCACTGATGAGACTACCAAGATAAGTGAAGCGGTCTACACGTTCAACTACTTCACTCCCTATCACTAGTTCAGGTGCCGATGCAACCCAGCACTCACTCGACCAGTGGTGTTCGAGTAGAGAGCTTGTTTAAGGTTAATTTACTTCTTTGGTAAACCTTTCAATGACAGACACTGCCACAGATCAACTGAGTCAAATGCCGCTTTTAGGTCCAGGAAGACAACTATTGTAGGACGCCTAAATGTGTGTCTGTGTTCCAAGACCTGTCGTAGTGTGAAGACGTGGTCTATACAGCCACGTCCAGGTCGAAAACCAGCCTGGTTTTCTCGAGTTTGCTCTTCACGAGCTTCCGTTAAGCGCCGAAGTATTACTGAGGCCAATAATTTAGATACTATATTAGTTAGACTTATTCCCCTGTGATTGTCACAAGAAGACTTTTGTCCTTTCTTATAGATTGGGACAATCATTTATTGAGACCAGTCGGATGGGATAGTGTCCAGTTCCCAGATTCTACCTAAGATCTCAGTCAACCTAGCTGCTAAAACTGGACCACCATCCTTAAATATCTCAGGGGTCAGTCTATCAGGACCTGCAGCTCGTCCTCGTTTGAGATTTCCTAACGCTTTCTCAACTTCATTCAGACTAAGGGGACTTAGGTCGACTTGCCATTCAGGATGACTGGAGATCGTGGCTAACCGAAGAGTGGCACGTGGCCAGTTGAACTGATCCCTAAAGTGTTCTGCCCATCGATCCAGTCTCCTGGATTGAGAATAAATAATAGTCCCATCATTTTCTGAGATAGTCTCACTCACATTCGGGTTCCTAATACCGGTTTCTTTAATAAGGCGGAAAAGTTGTCTAGTGTTGCCTATCGCCGCTGCCTTTTCCATCGCTTTTGCTTTCGCCACCCACCACTGTTCGCGATCGTTACGTAGGCTTTTTATAAGTCTGCGCCTAAGTTGTTTTCGTTCTTCATCATGTTCAGAGTTAGGTGGGATGCGTTTTCGAGCATCCATCAGTTCGGTGGAGTTCGGCGGAGAGATAATTCTGCCCTAGGACTCAACGCTATGCCTACGCCAGCAAGACCCCTGGAAGCAGCATCAGGGCTACCGGATACACGAAGAGTGAATCGGGCTGCTTCTTTATTTTGACAAGGTGAAATCAGGTTAATGACTTTACTAGGATACTGTATGTGCGTTTCCGAGACGCAGCATACATTGACGGCACGAGATTCTAAAGTCCTAGCTAATGATGCCTGTTGCCCTATTTGACACAATGTACGTGCATTAAATGCTCCAACATGTAGTCTAGAACGGGGTTTCAAGAGACCAGGAACGACGTTTCGTGATGTCGCTTCGTCTGCACTAGCGATGCTATGAGAAAAGGGAGTGTGAGTAGAGTTAGTCGTAGAGATAAGAGAGACATTAGGAGGTGTAGGAAGGATTTGATTTTGACCAATTTGGTCTCGCGTGCTGTTACGGGTATGAGGGCGGTTGTCACTTCCCGGCTGCCCACACCGTGGAAGGTTGTTTCTTGAGGGACCTGAAAAGGAAGATGGATTAGTGTTGGTGCGTGACCGCAGAGTCCATGGGACAACTGCTTGAGGCCGGTCAAGCACGGCCTTTTTATGAAAGGTTTTTTGAGGATTAGCACCTTAGTGGGCACCCTCATCCAAGGAGACGGAAATCAGTGAGGTAGGGGAGGTGTGACATTTTTAGGGCCGACCTTTTCTAACCCTTCCTTTCTTGTGAGAAGGCAGCATCGCTGCAGATACTGGTTGTCCGAGGGAAACACCTTACTGCTGTCACACCCCTCTGCAGTCAGCAGTACGACTTCGCTCTCGACCTTGGGTAGCTGCTTTTAGTGTTATCGTTCTCCAATCGACTAGCCTTTCAAGGTAGGACCTGCAGGAACATATGTTCTAGCCAGTATAGCTCGGTTGGGTCATCACGATAGGCAATCCCGACCACCACGTCAAGGTAGCAGCTACGGTGGTAAATGTTGAGAACATATCGTCATATAAGATAACATAATTATCAACACAATAAGATGCGATAGTGAAATTTTTTTACTAAAGTTGTTGATGTTGCTTGTCAAAACATGTCAGCATGTAGTGTCGAGCTCTAATCGATGAAACATGCATGTTATATGGGAGTACATACTACAATATCTATTTGTTTAAATCAAAGTATATTGAGTAGATATGCAACTGTTGATCAATTCTTGAGATTTAACAAATTAAAATGAAATGTGCTATAAATGCTTTTGACAGTTTTTCGAGGCATTTCCAAGTGATCTGAAGACTTCACTTCACTTGTTGAAGAGGCTTGATGTGTTAATAAGTATCTAAGCTTATGACGAACGAAATTTATGAACAGCTGTTAAGTGGATCATCAAATCGACTAACAAAACGTAGAAATCAAAGTCAATAAAGTCTATGAACCTATTTGTTGTCTATCCGCAAGCAATATTATTTTCTGGTTAGTCATTCTTTAAAATATCTTTTTTGTTTTAATATGAATATGTAATGAAAAAGTCTAACTGTTTTATTTATCCTCTCTGATTGTCTTATTTTAGAACCCGATGATCTTAGACCTCATCATATTTTCCGTGTACACCAGGGTGTTCTTACTCCGACGTTTTCATTCTTTTTACTCCATCCATTTAGTTCGATTTATAATTTGGCTAAATTAGCTGGAAAATATTATCAAAAATGGTTAAATAAACCAAATCGGTTAGCTGGACCATACGGTATTAACATCACACTCATTGACTTCTTTTCAACAGCTTACCCAACATATATACATGATGTTGTATTGCTAAACTATAAAACTTGGCCAACGGATAAAACTTCCAATTAAGACCTTTTTATATTACTGTTTTAATATTTTTGATTTCCGAATTTTGTTTATTTCTGAATTCGGAGAGTTTAACAGTTACTCTTTATGCTTTTATTTTGATAATCTTTTTTTATCTGATTTATGTAGTTCCCAAAATATTTTGTTATTCATGGTCACTTCTTTGTTTAAATATTAAAAAAAAGAATTAAATAACTGGTAGTCTGTTTTTTTTAACTCATAACTTTTAATACTTTCCAAAATTGCTTACCTTCATTATTGAGTAAAATTCATTATAAGATTACTGAATGGACAATTCGTTTCCCGTTTTGTTTCTGCATAAAGAATCATCTTATTTAGTTCGAGTATACATATGTAAAATATCTTGGTTAGACGTAAATGTGCTGTAAACACATTTAGTGAGAAAGCTAGAAATATTTAACACATTCTTTGAACCTGCTAAATGTCAGAACATACTTCATGATTACTAAATTTGTTCATAACAAACTTCATCAGTCGTAAGAGTTGGCTGGTAGCAGAAGACAGTTGGACATAATTGTAGTGATGACGATGGTCATTAAAATATTGAATATTACAGTTTATAATGGTCAAACCTCAACCTGCCACAAATATACAACATTATTGAATATATTTTAGCCGTTGATTGGTATCCACGATATGTTACATATTAGCCAAGAGAAGCCTAAATGATATCGAAGCATTAATTTTTCATTCTCTGAGCTGGATGCTTTGATTGTGAAGCTTTCATTGTTCTTTAGAACGATATCAGCACAAACTTCAGGTAGAAGTGAAATATCCGAATTTCTTCAAGTATTACTCGTAGTTTGTGTTGTTGACCTCAAAATGGATTGGTTGTTATTGACCTTTAACCTGTCATTGTCTGCCTTTTTATTTTGGTTCTATCCCGTTATAATTTGGATTGTTTGATTAGTAGGTAAATTGGATCAACATCAATCCGATATGATATGCTGTGTATGCAAATTATAAGATTTCGCTTACTAAGCTTATTCTCCTGATATTGAAATACTACTTAATTACTTTCGCCTGCTACCCTTGGCGGAGCATAGGCGGCCGACCAATATGTCCCAACCGACTACGTTTTGAGCTCTCATTCCTTGTTGTTCCCGATCGCGATTCATTCTTTTGATATGTCTGATTCCCTGTGCAGTGTTCTTTGGTCTACCCCTTTCCTTCTGGCCTTGAGGACTCCAAGTTGGCATTTGCCTCGTGACGTAGCTGGATGATCTTGGCAGTGTATTTCTTATTCACCTCCAGCGTTTTTCCCAATTTCTTTCTTAACTAGAACCTGGTCTCTCCCGAACACGCCGTCAGATGCTTTCTTGTAGTCGATAAAGTTGATGCATGGTGATGAGTTTCATTCAGTTGATTGTTCCCCAATGATTTTTAGTGTCGTGATTAGTCAGTACAAGATCGATCCTTACGTAATCTGGCCTGTTGATCTCAAATTTAGGCGTCTACTGAATCTTTCATTCCGTTCAGCAACACTCTTTTGAAGGCTTTTCTTTGGATTGAGAGTAGAGTGATGCCTCTTTTGTTCTCACACTTGCTTTGGTATTCTAATGTGGTGTTGGTACTTGTTCTTCCTTCCAAATCTTGCTGTAGAGAACATGGAGCATTTTTTCTATGCCTCAGATGTTACGTCATCTTGTTATGTTTCCTTACCACTCATGATCTGTTGGATGGCCGTACGTATTTTTACCACTGTTAGTGGCGTGATATTTATGGGAAGGACTGTAGGTACTGCTTCGATAACCGTTATGATATAGTGAAAGAAACATGGTACTAACTTTCCCGCTGCTTATCTTCATGTAAATCGCATGTTGTTTGGTTCAGTAGTGCTGTTATACTATGCATGCGCGTAAACACGTCATTTGATATGCTTAAACTGTTAGAAGTTTACCTTAGTCGGTAAATGAGAGCAAGGACCCGGCGACACGACAGGCTACTCTAATCTGATTATCTCAAACCCCCGATTCCATCAGGCAATCAGGATGCCGGACGAGGGATCCGGGTCATAAAACGTTACAGATGATGCATATTTATGCAGTTAGGTCGAATAGGAAACAACATTGAAGTGTGTGACATTGATAGTTAGGACCATCAATGGGAATCGACCAATAGAATTATACTTACAAATAATCCTCTTAGGATATTGGATGAATATCCTAACAGATTGTCTATAAATTAAATAGAACTACAAGTAAAAGTTAATTTTCAAGTTTTATTCTGATTTGGTCAAAGTCAAAATAGTATAGAAAACATTATTAGACAAATTGAAAATCAGTAGGTATTGAAGACCCTTGTTTAATCAATCGGTTTCTGCACTGGATAACCTTTTTATCCAATTGTTCTTCAGACCATGGCAACTCTTCATAGCCTGTGAAGGATGAACCGATAAAACACAGTTTCCCCTGTATAAAAATTAAGCAATCACCAGGTTTTGGTCGTCCATTGTACCTTCTCAGTAATAATGGGCATTCTTGAGAGTTGTTTTCACTGGGGTTTAGATTTTATGCCAGGTCGTAACTCAAGAATCGATAATCTGCCAATCTCGTGGATATTGATGCACATGCTCCGGTACCTGCTATTTTGTATTTATTGTATATTCTTTTTGACATATAGCCCGGTGCTGTCGTAATATGAGCCTTATCATCCACAGCAGGACTACTTGTTGGCAATGTATGCTGTTGTTTTATGTATAATTGATAGAGAAGGTCACATACACCAATATTACTACCATTTGGCAACCTAAATGTAAATAACTCATTACAATTATATGTATCAATATCTGTAATATTATAACGGTCAAAATAAAAATACAAATCAGCAAATGCTTGCTTCTTTACACTACTCTACTTTGGTTTATCATGACGAACCTGTACAAATAGATAACACTTTACTATTTCACTTCGTACTAATCAATTTCATGCCTAAAAATGCAAGTTCAATATTTGCCTCAATAATAAACCTTCAGAAACTAAACTTCATCTCTAGAAGTAAATAAGAGCAGCCATTTCATCTAATCAAAATCAAAAACCGATTATTTTCACCTTGTCTGTTATGATAACAAACAATATTCAGTACTAACATACAATCTATTTCATCAGAAGGCTTGGTAAGCGTAGAAAGTATATTCTACAAACACCCAGTAATCACAATATAATCATCTTCATCTTCGTTTCTCTTTTGTCATATCTTAGTTACTTCACATTCAACATGATAAGCAGATATAGATGGTGGCTAGCAATGGGAACTAGGACGCTCGTTTCGTCCTGTTCGGGACTCGATAGCTGGATGCACCTGCATCCCATAGTTGATGCTCACTCCGGCACTCAAACCCAGTACCGTCCACTTCAAACGTCGTTGCATTATCCACCTCTATGTTGAGTACAGATGACAGCTGACTTGTGCAGTGATGTGGAGTTTCATTTGTTTTTATTGGTTGTTTTTAATTTCCTCATTGAAGTTTAGGATGGTGATTGATCAATCAGTTTGGTATATGTGCATCCTGTACGGATAGCCTCGAGACTACCATTAAGTCACAATTATAAATGGTGTGGTACGGTGGCTAGCTGTGTGAATGTTCAGTCAAGTTTTAGTTATATAGTGTTAGCGCATCAGCCTTCTTCATCTTTCATCTTAACGTCTTTCTGAATGAACGAGCACTTCAATTAAATCCGTCCAACACAATTCCTATTTCGCATTTTATTACCATCATCGCCTAAGTGGGCTTAGTCTAATTGGAATATACGAAACCAGACGAGGTATGTAATCAGAATGCAGCCTTATAAGTATAATTATGATCATAATAATAAAATGAAGTTTAGTTCTACCTGATAAAATGTTCATTGATGTTTTTCCGAGAATGCACAACATAAATACAAGGTACAAGGTACAAGAATTTCAATGACAAACCTTTTTTTGTAAAAATATATCTTACCTGGAATCATAAACAATAATCACTGCAGCCTGATGCGATGGCATTAATTTATTTAAGAATATATCAAATTCCAAATCAGTAATATTCGGTGGTATTTGACGACTGCATCGACAGCCTTTATTTGATATTGTACTTAGTGTTGACAATAGTTGATTGTTGAATTTTGATGGATTAATTAAAATATCCATAAAAATTTTTTCTAATAATTCAGTTTCATCAGGTTTGAGTTCAACACTATGTTCGAATGTAGTCTCGTCAAATTGTTGAATTTTGATTAAATGTTTAAAATATTTAAGATGTTTTATTTCAAGCAACCATGATCGAAGTAACACTGGACATGGAACTGGAAAAATATCTATTGCATTGACCATTGAATAATATTTTCCCATTGTAGTTTTTTGATTATTTTCTGTACTTAACGATCTCATAAGTAATGTTCCGGAAGCTTTGTCATTTCTTACAATCAGTGGTCTGTAGATGAATTGTATGTTTAGTGAATAATTTTTACAGTGCAAAACAATAATAATAATAATAATCACCATGTCTATATGTACCTTACTTAGAAATACCACTAACCGTAATTCATATCTTTGTTTGGTTTACTCTACTTTTAACAATCGGATATTATCGACGGTGCTCACCTAATAATTACGACCCAATATCTGGCAAGAAAGCATACTCTTAGTTATTTAGTTAGCTTGAATATTTTTTATATAAAAAAGAAACAATTGGATCTAGCGAAAACAGTTGTCAAGTGATTTCCAATCAAGGTGTACATTCATACATAGTTAGAACTTAGAAGAGCATAATTCTTTGTAGACTTCTCGACAAAAGATAATTAGGATAATCTAAACCCGACTGTAGCCGCTACCTTGAAGTGGTGGTCGGGCTTGACTATCGTGATGACTCAACCGAGCTATACCGGCTGGAACATATGTTCCTGTAGGTTCTACCATGCCAAGCAGGTCGATTGGAGAACGATGAGACTAAAAGCAGCTACCCAAGGTCTGCTGACTGCAGAGGGGTGTGACGACAGTAAGGTGTTTCCCTCGGACAACCAGCATCTGCAGCGATGCTGCCTTCTCACAAGGAAGAAAGGGTTAGGAAAGGTCGACTCTGAAAATGTCACACCTCGCCTTACCTCACGAATTTCCGTATCCGTCGGTGAGGGTACTCACTAAGGGCTTTTAAGAGTGAGGCTAATACTCAAAAAACCTTTCATAAAAAGGCCGTGCGTGAACGGCCTCAAGCAGTTAGCCCATGGACTCTGAGGTCACGCACCCAGGTCTCCAAGACGAACACTAATCTATCTTCCTTTTCAGGTCCCTCAAGAAACAACATTCAGCAGTGTGGGCAGTCGGGAAAGCGTCATCCACCTCAGTCGAAATGCAAACTATTGCATCAAGATCGGCATACAGTGGCACCTGAACTAGTGAAAGCGAGTGAAGTAGTTGAGCGAGTAGACCACTTCACTTATCTCGGTAGTCTACGGTTTGACAAAATATCATCATGGTTACAAAATGCTCGACTAGATTTTGCCAACTTACGTCATTCATGGCGTAGGAGAGATATCCGTCCGATAAACAAACGACGAGTCAATTGCACACAAGTTCCGTCCGTCTCAATTTATGGCTGTGAAACATGGTCATTAGGAGTACAGAGTATTCGTAGCTTACCAGCATTCGATCATAGGGGTCTTCAGTGCATTGCTCATATCTCGTGGGACAGTCGACAAAGTAATGCAGTTGTTAGAAAACGAGTACCAGATAAGAACGGGAGATCACTTGATGAAGTATCGCATCTTCATCTGTTGAAGTGGGATTGGGACATGTACTGCTTATGCTCAACAACCGACTGCCTAGAAGAGCGACGTTATGTATTGTGGGAGTAGGTTGGAAGAATGCTAGGGTTGACTAGATTGAAGCATGACACAAATCCATGATGTCACTGACAAGTGAACTGAGAAATGTTGGTATGTGTAGACTACGTAGTTGGTGATCTTGAGATTACAGGAACCGATAGTTAGAGGTCTTGAATGACATGTCCTAAAATCGTGTGCGATTGCGTAGATGTTTCAATTCTTTATGTTCTCACTAGTTCTAATCTAGACTACGCATGACCTTCATCGTTCTCGTCTGCAATTTATTTCATTGCATTATACTTCTTGAAAAATATATTCATATGGTGATCTTTGTGATTACTGTTCATACTTCTACTATCTCCTCCACTATTGGACTATGACCGACAGTTTTATCTCAGTACTGAAGTTGTATGCCAACTTGAAATGTTTTACGTACGTAACAAGTTCTACGCTGTAAATGACTGACTGACTGACTGACTTTCGATAGGTACCTAAAGTGGATGCACTAAATTAAATTGCTACCTACAATCAAATTTCACTTTCCAAAAAACTACCTTCGGAGTATCATCTGTTTAATAAATACGAAATTCCTATGGAGATTTCACAATTATTCAATGTGGGATAGGTATAGAGAAAATGGATCACTTTAGAATGTGCCGATAGCCTTCGTTATTTCAGGCGATAACGCTTTATATGTATCCGAGTAGACAATCGAGTTTGAGTGGAAAGTCCTTATCATAACCGTATCATGTTTCTGCTTTATTTTAACCTGAAGACGCCAATTAATATAGTTTCAAGTCAAACTTGCCAAACCTATTGCTTGAAGTTGTTCTAGATTTATTGCATCTTTAGTTAGTATTTGTAGATCAGCTGTTTCATTTAGAGTGTGACTGGGTGGCGAACGACTGCATTTTAACACAAACACGGTCAAACTGTCCAAATAACAATTCATTCCACCATTACAGCCGTCAATCTCAACAGTTAATTAATCATCGCATGATATTTTCAAAATAGTATTTTAAATGTAACCGAAGAATTTTCAAAAACTTTTACCTTACATGAAATATCTATCACTTTAAGTTTATAAATTTAGAATAAGTGTTTATGATAAAGCGACAAGATAATGAAATAAACGATAATTTTCTGCACATTCAGGTTTGTACAGTCACTAACAATCCTTTTCGCAGGTTTATTTACCGATCTCAGAATAGATAAAAACTACTTCAAGTGGAATGAAATTTAATAAAAATTATTTAATTATATCTGGGAATTGATTTAGCCTTCTGTGCAGCATATACTCATTAAGTATCAGAATATGCGATCTATTATAATACTTAGTGCTAAAAAAATACACAACTAAGATATATCTAACAATCATAATTATTTGCTTCATTGTTGACTTTCATTACACTCATTTAACTAAACATGTAAGCATAAATATTGATTAGCTTTTGTGTGAGTGGTCATCATATGATGAGGTTTGATCATAGCATGTATGCAAGAGAATAAGTATAGATAAGATACAATTCTTCATAAATAAAATGGATGTAGATAAATGAAATCATTAGTTAACAAACCAATTCAAACTATGAAAGTAGTTTTGATTTTTGATTGAAAGTAGCTGATGAACAGGATTCACTCGACGAATAATTGAAAGTGCCTCATCAATATTAACTTGTGCCCAACCCATAAAGTAACTTTCTGATTTCTCGAATGGATCGACCTCATCCACCCACCTATTTTCGAATTCAGTGATTTCTATTTTCCAACTAAGAATGATTGAGGATATCATTCTATCATCAACTAGTTTCATGGGTGATTTTCAACGTGTTCTTCAAACTAAACACAGTTCTTTAAAAATGCAACAAGGTAACTGAGAATAGTGTTATGATGTAACGAGAGTTTCAACATATTCTTCATCAGAAACCTGGAAGCTCCCAGGTTTCTAATGGTGGTCTGACAATGATTGATTGATGATTTTAAATGTGTAAAAACACAAACCTCCAAAACTCTGCCTCAAAATATTCTTCATCCACCGTATGCCACATCTAAATGGGTGACCTTAGTTAATACTACCACAGAATTAGATGATTGAACCATGTTAAACAAACCAAAATGGAGAACTAGAGTAAGTGATAGACAATAAGTTATTTTACACAATTAGAAATCAATATGAGGAAATGCAATCACATATTTAATAGTTAGTAGGCTATGCGTTTTTGTCCACGCTTGATGACCAATCACATTCTCTTTCACTACCACACGTCATTTCATATGAAATAGATTAGTCGAATTCGAATCTTTTATAATGATACCGTATCAAGTTTCAATTTATTTCAATACAAATTTAAAACAATGTTTTCTTTTCGTAAACACAGTGACAAAAATATAAAGCTTATCTCAAAACAATTCAGCATACTTGAACACTAGTTGTATGTTTTTAATGTTAAAGTATTTCGTACACAGACGAGAGTGAATTAAACGGTGATTGAAAATAGGATGGATATATAGGGAATAAAGACAATATATCGTGTAGATCAAGTAAGAGCTTTCACATCATCTTTGGTATTCAAATTTCGTTCAGTATTGTCGTTGTAGTTTTACGGTGAGATTAATTAGTGTTGAAATATATAAAGGGGACATAAACTTTTGCTTAAGGTAGCTGACACTAGACAGACTGTCGGTCGTTTTTTCTATAACTATAATTATAAATTTTGAGCATATGACTATAAATAGTAAAGAAATAATAATTAGTTTAATTATTTTTGAAATCTGTGCTTTGTTTATCCAGGGCCACATTTTTTAGTACAGTAATTAGTTAATTAATTGTACGTCGTTTCGATGTATGGTCTGATTGTTTGGAATCTACGGGAAATATTTAGCTTTAATTGGATGTGAAAAATGTATAAATATTACGATTTCGAAACAGAAGAACTAAATTAATTTTCGTAAACTTTTCTCTAGTGGTCATTAATTTCCTGAAGCTAATTCACACCAATACTTTATATATGGAAGTCACAGTATTAATGTGATAACTAAGTAATATTTTCAATTAGAGTTATGGAGATTAGTGTTTTTACACATTTGAAATCATCAGTCAATCATTGTTAGACCACCATTAGAAACACTGCACCAATAAATCGCTGTACAAAATTCTTAGTGTTTATTTTCATTGTATATAGCATTTTTATTAAATATTTGATAAGTCACTTCCGTACTGTTTACATAAAACTATGCAAACAAAATTTATTTATTTCATCAAAACGTTTCAGCCCATCTAGCTATTAATTAGACTTTCGGTTGTAATGATAATGTAGTTGTTCAACATTGTTAATAAGTTAATTTTGGTTAACGTGTATCCACCATTAATTATTTCTGTATATGATTATTGTTTCGCATCTGTAATTTGCTTATGTGTAACCTCAGACAATCCTTTGCCCCATTCGATTTACAGTTTATTTTCAAATCTTAAGAGGGTTCAGTTCGATTGCTATTAACCAATTGTAGCTTACGTTTTTGTTTGGGCGAAGCAATCAAAACGAAAATGTTGGATAACACAAATGGAGTGCGAAATTTTAATCCTTTTTGTTGCATCAATAACTAATATAGTTATTAGTTAACCGATTATTCAAATACAATTATCCTCTTTTGACGGTGAACTCTACCCTCTATACCTTCTAGTCTAGGTGAATAAATGAAATCAATAACATGTTTGAGAAGTATTTCTAGTACTGAAATATATTACTGAATTCTGAGTTTATTGGTTGTTTCAGTAAAACTCACTCTTTAATTGCTTCATCTGTTAGGAATGTATCCAGATTTCCATTCTTAAAAGATGCTTTACTGATACTTCTTGTTGAATCAGATGTTGAAATTCTTGTCGACTTCTGTATGAATGTATTAGAAATGGGTTTATCAGAATGGATCAATGAATGATGATCAATTGCTCGGTTAGAAGTTGATACAGTTGTAAATGTTCCATATCCTTTTGTCATATAATCAAGACTCTGAAAATTATATTTTAGATCAATAAACAAGTTGTATGAGATAAATAAATGATCTGAATTCTAAACACTAAATATATACTAACAGCTTTGTTTAAGACTAACCAAGAGAATCTTGTCTTCATCATGAGCCACTAAAGACCAATCGACATTGGTAAGCTATTATTCTTTCTTTTGGGACTTCGCGAAAACGCGGATGTCTAGTTACTCTGAGGATCGAAGCTTATAGCTTCATACCTGGTGGACAAAATTTCACCAACATACCATAGAGTTGACAAGCAATGGTTCACATTCTCAACTTTATTCAATTTGTAATACAATGTGATTATACTTGACAATGATGAACTACACCGACTACGGTTTTTTTATTAGAAAATCTTGAAACCAATCATCAGTGATCTAGTCAGTAAATAAGGTGAATCAATACTACGTAAGATACGCAACAAGTTGTGTTCAACTGATGAAAAGTCGTATTAAACGAGTTCAGTTTACATGTCTCCTAGTTATGATAAGCAAATGTTCCGTTTGAACTTTAAAATATTAGACTCAAAGTATTTAGTGTGATCTGTATGACGAAGTTATCAAATATAAATCAAGTTACTATGATTTAATTCTTAACACAGCAATAAAAGAAATATAATATTGTCAAATTAATGGTATGTTGATCACAAACATACTTTATATCGAAGTAACTGGCATGCACTTCGTGGCGATGGATTACGTTGTCTTTGAAGACCTAGACAGTGACGCATTATTTCCAGCCATCGGTTACATAGAAATCTGTGTGGAGATAGAAAGATTAAACTAATGAATTCATACTAATAAAGTACTGCCATTTATTACACTTATACAATTACCATCATTTTTTTTACTTCATAGTCTGTGAAACTTTGTTGAATGCAAAAATAAGTTGAAAATACATTTACAAACTAATCACTCTGGGCTAATTTGAACAAATTCACTTTGCAGGATCAACTATTCAGTGTATACTGTTAATGAATTTCGGCTAAAACGATTACTAAACATTTTTGTATTTAGTTGGATGAGTAATATTTTCATATTGGTATGGGTACCCTTAAGTTATTTACGTTAATTAACAGAAAAAACAACATTAAAAAAGTATGGTAATGTGTTATAAAGAATGAAAAATTTAGGAATTAAGCAATGACACTCCAACCAATATCCAAAATATTCTGATAAATTTAAAAATAGTTTAAATTTCACTTCGTTTTCTGTTAAACAAACAATATGATTATACTTGTCTTTGTTACACATAATATCCTAGTTTCAAAAAAAAATTGATAACTTCATCCTGAGACAGTGTGATTAGTAATGAATTAGATAACGATGTTGCCCAGAACAACTATATAGTGTTGGTTAATCAATCATCCATATTGTTGAACATAGCACTACAAAAAATCACCCTCTAAATGTTCAACATAAGTGGTCATACTTCAATTGAATTACAATAGACTGTCTAACACTTTACATGACTTTTGAATTATTCAAAAGCTTGATCAACTCATAAACTTGATGCATTAATCCTCCCCAAGAAAAAATAATCTTTCTGCGTCTGATTACCATATTTAATCTAATTAAGTTATCGAATCTTCATGATTAAAACTTGAATAGTGATAACCGCTTTTCTTGATTTAAACAGATTAGATTGTTTAAATTTTCAGAATACTGAGTTTCGAAAAAACAAATGAATACAGTTAATAGACTAACCTTATGCGTTTCATTGACTCAATGAGATGCCTTGAAAGTGACTGCAAGTCATCATTGGGCGGAATATTTTTAAATAATCTTTGTAAACTCTCCTAATAAACAAAGTGTGGTGGTTAATACAAATATATATATTCTGAGTTGATTTTAATTAAAGTAAAAGCGTAGATACTCATTAAAAATGAAAATTCTTTAACAACTTTGTTAGTGCTGTTTTAATAACAGCCCTAACCCAAATACCATTTTTAGTAATTGTAAATCTGAACCAAGTATTCCTATACTGCACGTGAAGATGGTGTATCGACCGAAGCCATTCTGTCTGATTTTGCAGAGTCACTGATTCCTAATGATTAAGATTTTAACTTGAATTCACAGTAAAGTAACTCTTCATCATAGTGCATTATAATGATGTTATGAAAATTATAGGTAACTAAAATAATTAGCTATTGAGTTTGATGGTAACCGAAAGTAAAACGTCAATGATCTCAACCAAATATATTCAGTGATACAGTTAAATGCACTAGCAATAAACTACCTTACGTTGGTGAAACAGGTTTAAGACTTTTTTGTCTTTCATGAAACACGGAAGCGTTCGTCAGTATTCAACGAGTCGGTCAATTGAAGATTCAGGTTGAGTCAGAAAATCTTGATCCAAATTCAAGAACGACATTCAAATTAATGCTTTTACTTACTGGCATATAGGATACTTTGAAAATATCGGTTACTTCTTAGTCAAGTTTAGAATTTATTTATCGGTTTATTCAATGTCTTCAGCACAAACGATGGTTTATAATACATAATACTGAAGTTTCCATAACCTTTTACTGTGACAAACATTTACAGAATATCTCAGTTATTATAAGTGAATTATTTATTTAGACGCAGTATTATTGTATCCATCTTTGGTGTATTACAATCCTCCAAGTTAGCAAACATCTATCTACTGTTTACGCCTACATAAAAATCATTATTCATCAGTTAGCAAACATTTCCATCATTATTAAAACTACAAAAACCACCAATATTTTTAGGTGAATGGTTCATTGGTTTCACATTGTTTCTATTAATATGCTATTATCGAAATCAGAACATTTATGAAGTCATTTTTATTAGTGTTCTACATTGAATAAATTTTTACAAGTAATCTGTTTTTGTACTTTTATAAAAATCCTACTCTGGGATTTAAAACTCCATTCAATGGCACTAGTGATGACCAATACTGAAGCATACCTGGATAGATTGAAAACAAGGTAGTTGCAAAATCTTTGTAAAGAAACTATTATGGAGACAAGTATCAACATGAAGATTTGGCTTATTTTTCAAATCTATTCAACATTAGCAAGACTGTTAATAATAGAAATAAGAAATTTTTGTGAACTCTCAATGGTTGGAAAATTAAATTTCTAGCCTTTCGTGACTTTTTCAAAAGATTAAAATAAATGAAAAAATCAATTCAAATTACAAGTGTAAATAATATAAGGAAGCAAAGTAGAATATTTTTAGTACAATCAAAACATAAATAGCTTGCATAATGTAAATGTATTATCATCTCAGTGATTATGGTTCTGTATGAAATCGACTCGTAGACATTTGTGCGTCTGAAAAATGTGATATTTCTAATGTGAAAGGATAAGGCTAGAAATATTTGTGATTTCATTAATGGCGTGAGATGTGAACAGGACTAAATATGTGTATATTTAGATGGATTATCAATCCTTCTTTTTTGTTAAGCTTTAGTTATTCACCTTTCATTGTAATTGAAAGGGCCTAATTAAATTATTTTGATATTTCTAATATCGATTTGATGATTGTTGAAAATAACATTTAGTCCTTTCGTAGATTTTGTAGTTTCGCAAAATTATTTTGAAGCCTCGTAGTGTAGTTGAAATGTTCTGGAACATTGGAATTTCATAAATATACTTATTGTTTAGAACGACTTATTTTGTAGCTGGCTAATGTTTACTAGATAAAAATATAACAAATATTCATTTTGTTTTAATTACAGCTTAACTAACTAAGGACTATACAGAATCATGTGAGATAGTTTTTATTATAGAATGTATAGATTTCATTTTGGTGACATAAGTAATTTGTTCAACAAGCATACTAGTTTTTTCGATTAAACTTTAGCATAACATTATGTTAATATACTATTGAACTGATAATTAACATTGAGTGTTACCGTGAAATAATTTTTAAACTTTAAAACGTTTTCACAAATTTTTTCATCCTCTCAGTTTATATTTCATATAATTGAATAAATGGAAACTATTATATCATTCATGTCATTTCCAAAAGACACCTAGCATCAATATTTTATGCACAAATAGGCTTATTTGAGCATCGAAATGTTGTTCTGATTAAAAAAAGATGTTAAAATAAAATATAATGCTTCATTTAATAATCTGTCGACAAATTATCCACAGACAACATATAGTCTTCATTGAATAGAGATTAATCGATAAAGGAGATCTACATCTTATTCCCTTTAGTTGAATAACATATCAAGACTTCGAATTTGCAAACCAGTTGCGTAGATATAGTCTTACTGAGATTATTTTAAGCAGTTCACTGTTTATAGAAAAATATTGATCTTGGTTAGTTATAACAATAAGTATTCGTTTTCTGATCAATATCTGATCTTCTGCTACATTCTTCATAGATTGTATGGTACTGACTAAAATATTCATAGAAAACTTCATTTGATCTTGGTTGTTACATAGTGGTCCAGTGGTCGAATGGTTGGGCGTTCGCGCACAATACCGAAGGTCCCGGGCTCGAATCCTGTGAGGTGCAGGAGTCGTGGATGCGCACTGCTGATGAGTGCCATAACAGGACGAAACGCCCATCCAGTGCTTCCACGTTTCCAATGGTGGTCTAACAATGATTGACTGATGATTTCAAATGTGTAAAAACACTAATCTCCATAACTCTAATTGAAAATATTACTTAGTTATCACATTATTACTGTGACTTCCATATATAAAGTATTGGTGTGAAGTAGCTTCAGGAAATTAATGAGCACTAGAGAAAGGTTTACGAAAATTAATTTAATTCTTCTGTTTCGAAATCATAAAAATTATACATTTTTCACATCCAATTAAAGCTAAATATTTCCCGTAGATTCTAAATAATCAGATCATACATCGAAACGACGTACAATTAATTAACTAATTACTGTACTAAAAAAATGTGACCCTGGATAAACAAAGCACAGATTTCAAAAATAATTAAACTAATTATTATTTCTTTACTATTTATAGTCATACGCTCAAAATTTATAATTATGGTTATAGAAAAAACGACCGACAGTCTGTCTAGTGTCAGCTACCTTAAGCAAAAGTTTATGTCCCCTTTATATGTTCCAACACTAATTAATCTCACCGTGAAACTACAACGACAATACTGAACGAAATTTGAATACCAAAGATGATGTGAAAGCTCTTACTTGATCTACACCATATATTGTCTTTATTCCCTATATATCCATCCTATTTTCAATCACCGTTTAATTCACTCTCGTCTGTGTACGAAATACTTTACCATTAAAAACATACAACTAGTGTACAAGTATGCTGAATTATTTTGAGATAAGCTTTATATTTTTGTCACTGTGTTTACGAAAAGAAAACATTGTTTTAAATTTGTATTGAAATAAATTGAAACTTGATACGGTATCATTATAAAAGATTCGAATTCGACTAATTTATTTCACATGAAATGACGTGTGGTAGTGAAAGAGAATGTGATTGGTCAATAAGCGTGGACAAAAACGCACAGCCTACTAACTATTAAATATGTGATTGCATTTCCTCATATTGATTTCTACTCCGGATTCACTGTGTGGCCTCATATAATTGTGTAAAATAACTTATTGTGTATCACTTATTCTAGTTCTCTATTTGGTTTGTTTAACATGGTTCAATCAACTAATTCTGTGGTAGTATTAACTAAGGTCACCCATTTAGTTGTTGTATACAGTGGATGAAGAATATGTTGAAACTTCCGTTACATCATAACACCATTCTCAGTTACCTTGTTGCATTTTTAAAGAACTGTGTTTAGTTTGACGAACACGTTGAAAATCACCCATGAAACTAGTTGATGATAGAATGATATCATCAATCATTCTCAGTTGGAAAATAGAAATCACTGAATTCGAAATTAGGTGGGTGGATGAGGTCGATCCATTCGAAAAATCAGGAAGTTACTTTATAGGTTGGGTACAAGTAAATATTGATGAGGCACTTTCAATTATTCGTCAAGTGAACGCTGTTCATCGGCTACTTTCAATCAAAATCAAAACTACCTTCATAGTTTGAATTGGTTTGTTAACTAATGATTTCATTTATCTACATCCATTTTATTTATGAAGAATTGTAACTTATCTATACTTATTCTCTTGCATACATGCTATGATCAAACCTCATCATATGATGACCACTCACACAAAAGCTAATCAATATTTATGCTTACATGCTTAGTTAAATGAGTGTAATGAAAGTCAACAATGAAGCAAATAATTATGATTGTTAGATATATCTTAGTTGTGTATTTTTTTAGTATAAAGTATTATAATAAATTACATATTCTGATACTATATGAGTATATGCTGCATAGAAGGCTAAATCAATTCCCAGATATAATTAAATAATTTTTATTAAATTTCATTCCACACGAAGTAGTTTTTATCTATTCTGAGATCGGTAAATAAACCTGCAAAAACGATTATAAGTGACTGTTCAAACCACTATGTGTAGAAAATTATTGTATATTTCATTATCTTGTCGCTTTATCATAAACACTTATTCTAAATTTATAAACTTAAAGTGATAGATATTTCATGTAAGGTAAAAAATTTTGAAAATTCTTTGGTTATATTTAAAATACTATTTTGAAAATATCATGCGATGATTAATTAACTGTTGAGATTGACGGCTGTAATGGTGGAATGAATTGTTTCTTGGGCATTTTGACCGTGTTTGTGTTAAAATGCAGTCGTTCGCCACTCAGTCACACTCTATATGAAACAGCTGATCTACAACTACTAACTAAAT